CAGAGGAGGCTGGCTATGATTTTAAAACAAAGTGGAGTCCTGTGGTATGGCTCCCTGACCAAGTGAAATCTCTGGATGTACTGGCTGTGCAGCTGCCCTATGTTCAGTGCACAGAAACCAGTTTGAAAATGGCTGAAATTGGTTTGAGATAAACCTGGTTGAATGATAATAATCAGTTATCAGACTTAACTGATTTGGTTCAAACCAGTTTATACGATGTCTGTCCCAGATCCCTTCCTGGTTTAAGTTAAATCAGAGTCCCCCAGCATGCTCTCTGGGCTGGGCAGTGCTCTCTGCTCCAGAGAGCTGGGCTTGCCCCTCCCTTCTGCTCCCTGGCTGCAGGTCTGGCAGACTTCAGGTACAGAGCATCTGCCTGACTTCCTTCTGCACCCCCTCCCTGACCACTGCCTGCTGAAGCAGGGATTCCCCTCTCCCCTCTGCCTTATACAGATACCTCTCAGCATTAGCTAGCAGACCACACGCTGGCTATGGTCTGTGCTGTGGGGGACAGAACAAAGGTAGACATGACAGTGTTGGCCTAGGGTTTTTTGGAACTAATCAACAGGTAGCTGGTAATGTCCCTCCATTGGCAAGGGTTCCCCGGCCATGGAGTCCCCCTTGGCAGGGGTTTCTGCCCTCAAGCTCAGGTCCCTACCCACTCAGGTACCCATCTCTTATAATAAGGAAGACCAAACAACAAGAAAATAATTGTGTGCTGGGCACTCTGATCTGCAGTCTCCTGACCTCCCCTCACAGGTGCTTCCAGTCCACTGGTTGTTATAAACAAAAAATTAAACTCCACTGGGATATAAACAGTCCTTTGCAAAAATCTCAACCCCCCCTGGGTACATATGAAGAGTCCTTCATTAAATCTTCATTCCTTCAAGTGCATTCACTCTCCACAGGCTTTTCCTGGTGGATTCACACAGCCAAAGTCACCCACTTACCAGGAGGAAAGCCTATATCATGGGCGGGCAGTTATTTTGGGTGGAGGTCACTTCCCAAGTTCTGGCAAGCCGTCAAGCGCGCAAGGGTAACCCCATCCCCTGACAGGTGCCCGCCCCCTGGTCACCATCTTGGGACCAGAAGTCCCACCCCTAACCCCTGACCATTGCTACCAGAAGTCCTTCCCCTTGACCCCCCAGAAATACTCCTTTCAGCAAGTGTTTGCCATCTTGGAACCATAAAAATATGAAATTATATTTTACAGGAGTGGGGGCAGTGTGTATGTGGGGTAGGGAAGCATGTGGGTGTGTGTGTGACTATATGGCATGAGAGTGGGTATGGGGTTTGTGGGGGTGGGTGGCTGGGGTGGGTTGTGGCATGTTGAAAGGAGGAGGATTTGCCCACAGCCCTCCTGCAGCAGGCAGTATGCCCACCAGCACTCCTCCAAGCCCTGGCTCTGTGCTCCAACAGCTTCTGCCCACAAGGTACTGGTATGGCCGTATGCTGCCATTCACCGGCACTGCCCGCCCCCCATCTGCCACCACTGCCCTTCTGTTACTTCCCTGCCC